ACGCAGGACACCGACAAAGACGGTCCTCTAAGGTCTGGCATTAATAGCCGGTGTTTGATGTCTCTCCCTAAAATAAAGTGTTCTATTTTCTCTTGGTTAAAAAAGGAAAAAAAGATCCAAAGTTTTATAATCAAGTCTAAACGAGGTTTTAATTTTCCTTTGATGAATGAGTGTACAACGAAGGAGCGGCGTTGTTGTGTTGGATGGTGGCGCCTCTCTCTCTCTCTCTCTCTCTCTCTCTCTCTCTCTCTCGTGACGTGGCTCTATCTCCCTGTTTTTATCGTTATTCTTCTCTTTTATCTCTATCTCTTGGGATGTGGTTCACTCTTTCTCTACATCTCTCTATATATACAGCGTCCTCAAAGGGTTAAATCATCGTCGTTAAAGGGTTAAATCATCGTCGTCAAAGGGTTAAATCATCGTCGTCAAAGGGTTAAATCATCGTCATCAAAGGGTTAAATCATCGTCATCAAAGGGTTAAATCATCGTCATCAAAGGGTTAAATCATCGTCGTTAAATCATCGTCAAAGGGTTAAATCATCGTCATCAAAGGGTTAAATCATCGTCATCAAAGGGTTAAATCATCGTCATCAAAGGGTTAAATCATCGTCATCAAAGGGTTAAATCATCGTCATCAAAGGGTTAAATCATCGTCTCAAAGGGTTAAATCATCGTCATCAAAGGGTTAAATCATCGTCATCAATCATCGGGTTAAATCATCGTCAAAGGGTTAATCATCATCGAATCATCGTCAAAGGGTTAAATCATCTCATCAGGTTAAATCATCGTCGCTCAAAGGGTTAAATCATCGTCTGGTTAAATCATCGTCGTCAAAGGGTTAAATCATCGTCGTCAAAGGGTTAAATCATCGTCATCAAAGGGTTAAATCATCGTCCTCAAGGGTTAAATCATCGTCGTCAAAGGTTAAATCATCGTCCTCAAAGGGTTAAATCATAAACATCGTCGTCAAAGGGTTAATCATCGTCATCATCGTCGTCAAAGGGTTAAATAATCATCAATCATCGTCCTCAAAGGGTTAAATCATCGTCGTCAAAGGGTTAAATCATCGTCGTCAAAGGGTTAAATCATCGTCGTCAAAGGGTTAAATCATCGTCGTCAAAGGGTTAAGACCAGAGTACCGTACCAATAAGTCCCAACATCCTTTAAGAACGTTTGGATTCAGTATACTGCTGGATGGTTTGTAGTCAATAGATATCGGAAGTTGGCGACGCTTTAGTGAGAAGGTGAATGGCCAATCACCACCATTTATGACGTCTACACTACCCAATCCTCTTTCAATCTCAATCACTCGCTTCATTTCAATCAATCTCAGGTAGCGTGGTCAGTCTCACGTCATGGGCCTTCCACCACTATCAAATTTCCAGGCTCCTGAGGTGTTAGTGATTGTCTGTTGAGCGCCAGTGTGTGTTCCTGCCTTGTGATTACCTGTATGAGAGTGACGACTACTACCACTATCACTACCACAACTACCACTACCACTATCACTACTATCACTAGCACTATCACTACTACCACTATCACTACCACTACTACCACTATCACTACTACCACTACTGCTATCATGGGCACTATCACACCACCACTACCACCAACACCACTACTACCACCGAACACATCGCCAAAGGAGAGGAGGAGGGGGAGGGTAAGGAGAGAAGGAGAGAAGGAGAGAAGGAGAGAAATATACGGAGGAGAAAAGAAAGATAAATGATGGCAGGAGTAAAGAAGAAAACACAATAAAGACAGACAGGTAAACAGTAATTAGTGAACCCAGGTGAGGCAAAAGACTCATTAAGCACGTGATTTACATACCTGGAGGAGCTCTCAACCTCCTCTCGCATTACACATTAAACTAACATTATCTATCTATCTATCTATCTATCTATCTATCTATCTATCTATTTATCTATCTATAGACAGACAGACAGACAGACAGACTACAAACATTACATAAACATTCATTGATAGGTTAAGGAATTCTTACCCAAGTTTGTTAGTTTAGTAAATAAGAAGTTTAGTGATGAGTTGAAGTTGAAGAAAAATGCTGTGTGTGAGACGTACATACATACATACATACATACATACATACATACATACATACATACATACATACATACATACATACATACATACATGCATACATACATACATACATACATATTCTTCATTCATAGAAAACGGAATGGTCTCTTTGAGGGATGACAGGTCCAATATAACCTAATATGGTATTAATATGGGGAGCAATATATCATGGTGGCACCTTGTGTCATGTTGATGGACATAATTGTGAGTCCAATAAACCAATATAGCCCACCTACACCTTATTGGTACAGGTATTCCAATATGTCTGCCAGTGTGGGTTGAGACTGCAGGAGGAGAAGGTTGTTGAGGTAATTTGGATCGGTTCACCATTATAACAGCGCCAACACTAGTGATCGATCGACAGTGCTGCCGTTCGTTTGTCTTGTGCCTGTTGTGGTAATTTTGTGTAGTGATGGCGTGCGTCATTAAGCTCTCTCTCTCTCTCTCTCGCTCTCTCTCTCTCTCTCTCTCTCTCTCTCTCTCTCTCTCTCTCTCTCATACAATTTGGTCTATAAGAAAAAATAATGTAAATATGATGTTAAATTAATGTTAATTCTATGTCTTATGGTGACTGTAATGTTTGATTGAATATTTGTCATCATCATCATCATCATCATCATCATCATCATCATCATCATCATCATTATTTAACACTAAAGTTGTATAATTTTTCCTTCTGGTAAAAATAATTGTGGGAGTAAACATTGATCAGTTCTTAACCTGTGTGATCAATTAAGGCTTCCAGGAGGTAATGTGGTCACGTTCTCACCACCACTACTACCCCCCGACCTACCACCACTACTACGACCTACCACCTACTACCCCGACCTACACCTACCTGACCTACCACTACCTACCTACCACCTACTACCCCCGACCTACCACTACTACCCCCCGACCTACCACCACTACTACCCCCCGACCTACCACCACTACTACCCCCGACCTACTACCACCACCACCACCTATGGAAACTTAAATTAAACACTCATTACAACCCAAAATGAACGCGTGAGGAAGTCGCCTCAGATCTGCTGCAGGTTTAAGTAAAAACGGTTCATATCAGGACAGGTCATGGCATCATGTGGGACGAGCGGGAAATTACGCAGCAGTGACGTCACCATAAAACTGAAGCTTTATTAGTCTGGTGGATGTCAGACACACGGACAAGATTCCACTGGACGAAATCTCACGTAACGAAATTCCATAAGACAATATCACCTTTGATTATTCTTCACCAGACAAAATTCACTAACAATTTCTTCTGATAAAACAATTTCGCAAGATTCTGTCCAGGCAAGAGATTATTGTCCGATAGGTTTTGTCCACTGGTGTGATGGAATATTCACTTGGGAACTGTAGAGCATAATTTTGTCCACTGGTGAGCTGAAGGATGGGGTTTTGTCCAGAGTACTGAGGTACAATAAGTGTCACTGGTCACAACAATCTTCTCTATTTGGCTTATCTCGCTCCAGGAGACCGCCACCCTCTGACCCCATGACCCAGAAACCTCCTGATCCCCTGACCCCGTGACCTCTTGACCCTTTGACCCCGTAACTCTGTGACCTCCTGATCCCCTGACTCCGTGACCTCCTGACCCCTTGACCCCCTGACCTCTTGACCCGGGTGGCGTCTTAAGTAACCAGCTTTAGGATTCCTGACAAACTGTGACCTTGTGACCTCTGACCTAGATATTTTGGCACCCATGACTGTGACCTGGTAACCTCTGACCTATTGTGCTTCTATTACGCTATTATATTCGACGTCACCCTTGAAGCCGACACTACCGACGTACACGCCATCACAATCACACTCAAAGGTATGTCCCTCAATACTGTCAGTGCCTATGGCTATGGCCTGGCACTAGGGACCTGCCACGCTTTGCCATAAATAGATAAATTGTATCGGGAAATTTCCCCCCACACACTCATCATTCTGTCACTTTATGTAACTTGCTGACAAAACCCATGACCCTTCAGGCTTTTACGCCCTTAATGCATGAGTCATAAAGGCAAGCATGAACCCCGCATGCTTCCCAGATGGGCGATGTAAACGCTTCTGTGCTTCACCTTGCACAGGATGTAAGGGGGTGCCCAATAAACTAGCCCCCTCCGGGGCAATCTAAAAAAAAAATCTAAATTTTATATCGTTTACCATTGCTAGTATTGACGTATAATCAACGCCAACACAAGACAGTTATCATCTCTCACGTGATCTATAAAATATCCACTTCATTACGTTAAGTTTCCTCCCCAACCCGGAGGTAAGAGGAAGCATATAGTCCAGGTTAGGTTAGGTTGTGTCTCTGTAATTTTGACTTATATTTTGGCTGCCACTGAGAGTCGAGGTTTAAGTGAGACAATTGGGTACGTTCTCGCATCTCCAGTGACGGGGAAAATTGTACCTAGGAACCTTTATGAGAATCTGAGGTAAAATTGATGTCTTGTGTGTGGGGGGGGAGGGGGAGGGGGGTGGGAGGGGGGGTGGGAGGGGAGGTGTTGATGAGTTCAGTAGGTCTCTCTCTCTCTCTCTCTCTCTCTCTCTCTCTCTCTCTCCTCATAATCCCCAGTAGATGTAAGTTGGTGTCTCTCAAGGGGTAAGTTTGGTCCCCTTCAGTCCACCCAGCTGTCCATAGGTACCTAACTTTACAATTGGGGAAGTGAAGGCGGTCGGGTATAGTGCCAGCAACATTGTCTCCTCGTTAAGTGTACTGTGTGCTGTGTTAACATTGTCTCTCATGGGATGTGCTGTGTTTGGGTACAGATGTAGTATGTTAGTGTTGTTTAGTTGTAGTTGTGATGAGTTAACTTGGTGTAACTTTTAACCCTCATTATCACCACTACCCTTACCACCACCACCACTACTTAACACCACCACTAACACCACTATCACCCCCACAGACGGTTTGTTCCACGCGTTGGAGATCTTGGACACCGCGGGGTCTCACCACTTCCCAGCCATGAGGGAGTTATCCATCAGGTCTGGCCGAGCCTTCGTCATCGTGTTCGCCGTCAACAACGAACAGAGTTTCTACGAGGCCCAGTCCCTGTGGAGCCTTATCACCAAGATCAAAGGTAGAGTGAGAGAGAGAGAGAGAGATTCTGATTCGAAGTTAATAAAATTACCTGTAATTATCTTCCCGTAACAGGTACTTACGTCTGCATCCTTGAGCCATACTTATTAGAACTCTTCCTTTACCTGTATTACCTGTACTCTTACTGTTCATTATAAACTAATCAATATTATGTACCTGTACTTGTATCTACACTTGTATTCTCCTTACTATGTGTACCTGTATAATTAACCGTGTTTACCTGGGTTGATTGGCAGGTTTCGACGGGGCGCCTGTGGTGGTGGTGGGGAACAAGGTGGACTTAGACAGAGAGAGAGTGGTGAGCTTCCAGCGGGCACAGAACTGGGTGGACACGGATATGACCAACGCCTCATACCTCGAGACATCTGCCAAGTACAACATCAATGTGGGCGAACTCTTCAAACAACTCCTGATACGAACTTACGGCTTGGCTAATAATGAGATGGTGAGTTGGGTGTTCTCTCTCTGTGTCTCTCTCTCTCTCTTCTTCCCTGTGTGTCTCTCCCTTTCTCCCTCTCTTATTAAGCACTCTATACGGATCATAAGAGTAATACCAAAGGTCAGTGTAAACAGTAAGTGAACCTGACCAAGACTTCCCTAACAAAGTTCTTACTTACAGTTGAGTTCCTCGTTGCCTCCTTAACCATCCTCCATTATCCAGGTCTATTGCTTGTTTACCATCCACTATCACCACTACCACCATCCGTCACCACCATCACCACTACTACCACCACCTAACACATCTCTCTCCCGTTGCAGGCGCCGACGGCGGGCCGGGGTCGACTCAAGTCCTTGGGTAACATCATGGAGGTGGTGAGGCGGAGGTCCTTCAGCTTGGCTCAGGCGGCCTCCTGTAGTGCCATCCCTGACCATCCTGACATTCGTGACAGCAAGTGTGTCATACTCTAACCTGTAACCGACTCTGACCTGTAACCTACACTGACCTGCGAAAACCTTACCTTCTGCTGGCCGTCATGTAAGGGGCTCACCAATGACCCTGAGTGACCCAGGATGCTGCCCCACAGTGACCTCCAATGACCTTACTGTTACAGAAGGTCAACAAGAGTTTTTACCTGACCTGACTTCACCCAGACTGACGTGGAGGTATTCAGAGATGAAACTGTTGGTGTAGTTAAGACACCAACGACACAAACTGTCATCATAACAGAGTAGATCTTGTGTTATACAGGTAACAGTAGAAACACCTGACACTAAATAAACAAAGGTGTGTCCAGGGACTAATGATCAGCTGTTTATGTCTGTACTGTTTGTGAGGCAACAGTCGCCAGTGGACAAAACATCTGCTTCCACCATAAATAAAATCACAGCTAACGAACGATCGTTTGACGTAGATATCACAAATGTGTCATTATGGAATAAAATGGAACGCCAGACGATGCTGTTCGCCCGTACTTGCACAGTTCTCATTTCCCCTTGTCTCTCTCCTTCCCTGTACAGTACATTGATTATTATTGTTATCTATAGCTAATGTTACTTATATCTCCTGCCATTATTTTTAGTAGAAGTAGTAGTAGTAGTTTTAGTAGTAGAAGTAGTATATTTATAGTATTAGTATTAGTGGTAAAAATATATTTATTGTACTTCTTCCTATTATTATCATTACTATTACTATTACCTTATATACTCTTTTAATAATGTACGGTCAGCCAAAGATGCACTGACCCCACCCTGGGTCTCGTGCTGGCAATACTTGGTAAAGGAAGGCTGATTGTTTTGGTCTATATCACTGTCAGGATATATATTAAACAAACCATAGGTAACATTTTTACAATAATAAACTATTCATTGTTATTTAAGGCCATGACAAGTTTCCAAATGTTCCTATGTTTGCTTAGATGATGAATAAAATTTGATGTGAGAATCTTGTAGCAGCTGTGGTTGTAGTTGAGTTGCCAATTTATTAATATAATTTCTTAATTATTAAAACAAATATACGAAAATTTGGAAACGTCTAATGACCTTAAATAATACAGCCTTCCTTTACCAAGTATTGCCAGGTACAATGGCGAGCACGAGACCCAGGGTGGGGTCGGTGAATCCTTGGCTGACTGTACAACTATATCATACAGTATTTTCATGGTGTACAGTACTGGGTAAGCTTTAAGTACAAGTTACTGTTCCTTGTACATCACCACACTCGGGGGACGGGGGGTGTTCCCCCCTGTGTGACTGTCAGTCTCTCTCTCTCTCTCTCTTTCCACACACGAACCTGTAACAGAGTGGTACCAGAGGGTCTGGCTGAACCCACAAGAAGATCATGCTCTACAAAGCTTCAGAAACATTTTAACCCAACCTAAGTCACACACAATAGTTAATCGGATCGTGGTTGTGGACGGACAGACGAAAGCGACAAAGAAACTGGATTGAAACTTCACATTTTGTGAAGCAAGAAAATGATAATAAAAGTAAAGGTTCGAAGAATTGAAACTTAAAAATAATGTGGAATTGAAAGTTAAGTCATTGGTTAGTCCTGAAATTTGTTTTAAGAATCTGTCTAATAATTTAATTCGTTCTGAAGACTTGTTATAATGGCCTCAGTCTCATAGATTCTTATGTTAATTTTAATCCCTGTTAGTACAGATGTGAGAACGAATTATGTTAGAAACTTAAAGTAAGTTCGACTCTCTCTTGTCTGTTGTATAACTGAAAATTATCCAATAGTCACGTTTTTACATTTCTATATAAGGGAATTATTCACAGTCAGAATAATCGTGAATCTGGAATATTGATCCTTCAGGGTAATAGTTCAGTGTTATATAGATGAGACAGTTACGAGATCTTGACTACAGGATGGCAAGGATAGTGCGTCTCATATTACAGTAGTAACTGACGTATACAGACACACTCGATCATCAGCCCCTCATACACACCGAGATATACTAAGGTATGTCATTATTGGCCCCCAAAAAACTGTTATTCAGAAGTAAGACTCTGATGCAGGTGGCGCCACGACAGATGTGAAGGGGTTATGCAGACTATACGACTCGCCACCTACACCACCACCCGGGTCCTCCTGCACCTACAGTCAAGGAACGTCTCTCATACACCTACTGATGGGGACATAAATAATGACGCATAGATGGAAAAACAATTTTCTTTATGAGTTCTGATTCTCAAATATTCGTAGAATTAACTACTCTCTTAATGGGACATGATAACACAACTGCTTTTCATAATCTGTAACTTTGATCATATTTTGACCCCCTACTGTGTGTACCATTCAAGACAACCAACTACAAGCGTTTTTGTTTTGTTTTTTAATCTTTCGACAACAAAATACTGTAACACTCGCTACCAAAAGTCTTGTCGCCTCAGCTGCCGCTTCAAGACCCCAGAGATCCAGAGACCTGTGAGATCTCTGAAGTGAGGGGCGTCAGGAGTTTTGTTGACGAGTGAACTGTACATTAACTTATGACTCCTTGAGAATATAAACCTGGGTCGTCTGTCCTCACATGTGACAAATATCATCTTGAATTATGTGAGACTAATATATATACAACAAGTCGAGCAGTGTGGCATACTATTTAGGAATAATAATAAAAATAATAATAATAATAACTGTTTAGATAGTAGAGTGCCCCCACGTATAGGGATATATCATAGAAAACGGATTTTATTATATGCTAGATTACACAACAAACTGACTCGGTGTTCTGACAGGTGACGGGGACTTCCTTATCCAAATCCTCATTGGTTCCTACGTTTATTTTTGTTGTTGTTTCCTCCATCAAGTATAGGAACGAGAGAAAATATGTTTGTGTCTGGATGGCATTTCGTAACCATAGTAATGTAGTTTGAGGTGAAGCAGTCTGTTATACATTACCTGTTCTAAGGCTGGTGTATGTGAGAGTGTAGTCTCCGCTTCTTAACAAATGTGTATATGTGTAGATTAGTTATCGAGAGTGTTAATCTGGAGTAAATGTTCTATGTACAGTACAGTGCCTAACGTAACCTAACCTTCATAAGCTATCCTTTATACCCTAACCTAACCCATCTTTCTCATTCCTTTCTTTCTCACCGCCATCTTTCTCACTTCAATCTCTCTCACCTCCTCCTTTCTTACTCCCAACTATGTACCGTAGCTTGAACTAGCCTATTAATTTAGTTCTTATATCTAAAAAGCGAGAAGAAGAAAAAAAAACTCGGAAGAACCTTTGAGAGTTTGGGTCGAGGTTGAGACGATTAAGTCACCACGACTCTTGATACGAATAAGTTGATGACGTCACACAGTTCTCTAACTCATCCATGACGTCACACAGTTCTCTAACTCATCCATGACGTCACACAGTTCTCTAACTCATCCATGACGTCATAATGAAGAGGAGATTATAAACTCACTGGTCTCCTCCACTGCTCCTCTATTAATCTACTTCTCCGTGTATACTTTTGTAATAGGTAATAAAAATGTGTAAGAGTATATTAATCTGTGTTTTCCTTCACCCTAGTTACTATTAAGTTTAAATCAGTTCTTTGTTCTGTGTATGAAAAAAAACAATAAACTTACTAAGGTTAAAATCATAGTGTACAGACCATCACTACAGCACCTAACAAACCACACGGGTAAAATTGGTATTCTCTTTCTTCATTACAGCTCCACAGGTAAAGTAATTGGAAGGTAAAGTTATGGGACATGCTTGTCTAGAAACTGCAATAATATATAAAGTATTAAACATATTCAAACTATATAAACAGAGAAGTGAAAGTGAAAATACATCAACTATAACTGAGAAACAACATCAGAGACAAGAACCTCTAATCCTACAATTAACACATGAAATAACTGTTACCTATCACTGGACCGAGAATGGAACCTTGGGGGACTCCATACAAGATTGGCAAGGAGTCAGATTGGTGATTATTATAGCAGACATACTGCATCCTGTTGGACGTCATATTTTACGCTTTACTTAAGGCCAACACTTTCCTATCTTTCTTATATAGTCCTTGTTTACTGCTGTAACTTACGTCTATTATTCCATCTAGAATTATTGAAACTCCTCGTGAACACAATAGACCCGCAGACGATACACCACTTACCGCAGACGATACACCACTTACCGCAGACGATACACCACTTACCGCAGACGATACACCACTTACCGCAGACGATACACCACTTATCGCAGACGATACACCACTTATCGCAGACGATACACCACTTATCGCAGACGATACCACTTACCGCAGACGCAGACGACGACACCACTTACTTATCGCAGACGATACACCACTTATCGCAGACGATACACCACTTACCGCAGACGATACACCACTTATCGCAGACGATACACCACTTATCGCAGACGATACACCACTTATCGCAGACGATACACCACTTACCGCAGACGATACACCACTTACAGTATATATTGATACAAGCGTATCACAACTCACCAGCATTCAAATATAACTGTGTATACACCTGTGGCAGTTTACATTCTTCTCTCCCGCGCGAGTCATGGGTCACGCCTTACATCACGATCTGTGTCTCTTGCAGCTCAAAATGTATCTTATGTTATGATGGCGTCTGTTGTTGATAACCGCCACGGTGTTTAATTATTTTTTTCAATCATATTAAATTGGTTTTCTTGATGATTTTCCTGACGTGAGGAGCGGAACGAACACTCAGGGTCGGGGCACTCACGCTCACCTGCCATATAGTTTATAAACCATTAAATTACCTTTGTTTTCTTAGCAATATCAATATACGTGATGAATAGTATAGAGAACAGCATATTTCTTTAATTTAGCGGATAATATCCGCAGTAAACAACACTGCACTTATAGAGATTAGAAAATATTTCGGTATACGTAAATATATATGCCTGTAGTATACATATATATATATACTTAAGATTAGATTGGTGGCTATGAGAGAGACTGGCAGTGTGTTATACTTATGGTCGTCAGGGTAAATATTAGGTCTTGTCCAGTACTTTTCTTCACCCTGGTTGACGGTGTGACGACTGACAACACGAATCATCATTAAAAATTTTGCGGAGAGGTTTTGTCGTCTCCCCCCCTCCCTCCTCTCTCTCTCTCTCTCTCTCTCTCTCTCTCTCTCTCTCTCTCTCTCTAACAACGACACAGTGTTAATAATAATGATACTAAGATGATACAACCCTTCAGGCATCAGCAACAAATATCCTTACAGCTGCAATTCCACCATCGTTCACTCTAATATTAAAGGGAAATTAATCTTATATAAAACTTTTGTCAAATGTCCTTTTTTTTCTAAGAGAAGGATTTTGTTTTTATTGAACTTTTGTATCAAACCATAATTTCGTATTTGGGTTCACCATATCAACCACCACTTTCCTTGGCATGTCATTAAGTATTGTGCTGTATTGTTTTATAGTTAAGCTGTATATTGTTGTAAGTTCAGATAATTTGATGGTTTGTGTTGTCTGTCTAGTGCCGCCTCGTACAGCACAACACAACACAACACAACACAACACAACACAACACAACACAACACAATATCCAGACTTCATTTATTTCCACCATTTAACTTTACTTCATCATACTTTTATACATTAAGGTTTGAGTTAAACAAATAATAAACATAATATTTATATCATTACACAGTGCCACTGTTGGAGGCACTGTTGGTGGCACTATTGGAGGCACTGTTGGTGGCACTGTAATATGCGGTGACGGTTCCAGTTACGTCACCCAAAATTAAAAACGATACCAATAGTAAGATCATATGATAGAGGTGGTTGTGTGGTGGTGGTGGTGGTTGTGTGGTTGTGTGGTGGTGGTGGTGGGTGTAGTGGTGGTGGTGGTGGTGGTGTGTGGTGGTGGTGGTGGTGGTGGTGGTGGTGGGTGTGGTGGTGGTGGTGGTGGTGGTGGTTGTGTGGTGGTGGTGGTGGTGGTTGTGTGGTGGTAGTTGATTGTCCACCCAACTGAGCCACAGAGAAGGATGGCGGTGGTGTATCACTTATGTTACTTGTATATTATTTGTCAAACCAGTGATCCATTCCCCAAGTATGAAACTGTATGTGCTCAGCCTTTTGGCCGCCATGTTATTTCAATATTATTGTTATTATCAGAGTGGCACTTATAAACGCCATAACATCGTTGTCTTCTTTATGACACAGTTGAGTGGACAGTCAGGTACAATTTTAGACACAATACAGTCACATCCTTCACCACCTCGCACTCAATAGGACAGTCAGTGAGTGGTTGACACACAGTCACACACATCACAACTGTTACTGTCTTTAACAACTGCACATTCTTTAGGGCAGAACAGCAAAGGTCTACATTTTGTACAGTAACAAACGTCGCAGCCTTTGTTGTTCTTGACGACTCGGCACTGCCTGGGACAGTCAATAACAGGTTTACACACGTAGCACTCACACACGTCACAGCCATTTGTAACCTTTACAAGTGAACACCCTTCTGGACAGCTGGCCGCAGGCTTACACTCCTTACACTTACACACATCACAGTTGTTGTCGTCTTTCACCACCGAACACTGAGGGGGACAGTACAGTAATGGTCGACACTCACTACAGTCACAAACACCACATCCGTCACTGTTCTTGGAGAGTAAACATTGTGGTGGACAGTCATCTACTGGCGGGCAAGTCGGGCACTGGCACACGCCGCAACCGTTGACACCCGCAGTGATGGTGCAGTGTGCTGGGCACTCGTCTACTGGTTTACAAGTCTGGCACCTGCAGGTATCACAACCTTCGGGGTCCTTCACGACAGAACACGTTTTGGGACAGTCAGATATTGGCATACACGTGGGACAGTCACAGTACTCACACCCGTACTTGTTCTTCCGAACACAGCATTGTTTAGGGCACAGACCCACTGGCTGACACGGGGGACAGTCACACACTGCACACCCATAGCAGTTTGTCTTCACCTGGCAGGCAGCTGGGCAGTCCATGAGTGCCTTACACGGCGGGCAATCACACACTTTACACCCGTCTTTATCCGTATCAACTGGGCAGGCTTTTGGACAGTTATCAATAAGTTGACATTGTGGACACTCACATACACCACAGCCCAATTTGTCTGTTTTTATAAAGCATGGATATGGACACAAACCGACTTCTTTACAGACTGGGCAGTCGCAGAAGTCGCAACCATGACTGTCATTTCTTACACTACAGTGTGGTGGACAGTCACTCATAGGTCGGCAAGCCTTGGAGCAGTTACAGCTGTAGCACCCATTAGAACCTAGAACCTTTTCACACCGTGCATCACACTCGACAGACTGACACTCAGGACACACACACCTGTTGCAGCCAGTGGGAGTCATCATAAGCTCACAGGGATCTTTACATTCAACCTCTGGACAAGCTGGACACACACATTCATCACACCCATCACTTCCCTCCTGCACCTGACACGAGGGCTTGCAGTCCACCTTATGACACGGAGGAGGACACTCACACACCTCACACCCACCAGGACCTTTCTTAGACTGACAGGGACGTTCACAGTCTATATTAGGACACGGAGGACACTCACACACCTCACACCCACCAGGACCTTTCTTAGACTGACAGGGAAGTTCACAGTCTATATTAGGACACGGAGGACACTCACACACCTCACACCCACCAGGACCTTTCTTAGACTGACAGGGAAGTTCACAGTCTATATTAGGACACGGAGGACACTCACACACCTCACACCCGCTGTCATTCTTCTTCATACTGCACAGCGCGGGACAGTCATATATCAGTGGACAGATAACATGAGGAGAGGAACATAGACATTTACGACAATTATTTGCATCTGTTTCAATTACACAAGACTCTGGACAATCACCGAATGGAAGGCAGGTGTTGTTCATACTACAATCACATATTATACAACCAGTGGTATCTGTGTCGACTTTACAGGGTGCAGGACATTCATAAATTGTCGGACATTTTCCTCTATTCTCGCAGATACACTTCTGGCATCCGTCCTTCCCCAACACTATGGTGCACGAGTCAGAGCATTGCAGTACTGGATCACATTCTAGAACACAAAACAGTGAAGTTGATTAAAATATGGGATTAAAATGACCTTAGTTGAATAACAGGTAACGCATAACAGTATATTTGTCAGGTGTGCACTGCACAGGTAGTCTAATATGGCCAGAATCATTTTATTTATTCTTGCCATTTTAGGGAATTGATGGTCAGTGGAGAAACAACCTTTAAACGTTTTTGTTTTATGGTGAAGGTCGGGTAAGGTGCGCCATTGAACTAAACTATTACCATACATGTTCAGCTCAGTATAAACACACCAAACGAACATATTTTACTCATTAATTCAACTTTAACCTTACCTAACCTAACCTAACCTACTGTACCTTATTTGATAGTGCTCCTACCGTGTGTGTGTGTGTGTGTGTGTCCCTCATATATACTGACCATTCCTTCTTTACACAATTATTGCACAAACTGTCTTGCCAGCTTTGAACTCCTGCCGGTATCGTGTTCCATTCAACACACTTAAAATCAGAACTGCTTACAGGACGAAATCTTGGAAAATACACAGTTGAAAAGGGATGAACGAACACCGTAATGCTGAAGGGGGGGTTAGGTTAGGTTAGGTTGGGTTAGGTTAGGTTAGTTAGGTTAAGTCAGGTCAGGTCCTTAGGTTCAATCTCCGGCACGAGACAGATGTGAGAAGTTGTTATCCAGTATGACTACCAAACATAGCAGGTTTCCTCCGGTACGAACACTGCACAATGAAGGTCATAACAAAGTAACAAAGAACAGACCCACCGTCCGATAAGTGGTGAAATAATGATTAACAAATGAGAGCAGACTGTACTGTACCTGGTGTAGGGGTGGTTGGGGCGTTGTGGACGGCGCAGGGTTCCGCGATGGACGTTGCCTTCTGCAATAATAGTGGCAGTAGTAACCAGACCAACATGGTGGTGCTGGACCTTCGCGCCCTGCCTCCAGAACCTGTCTTAAGTGTCACTCTCTGCCAGGCAGATACTACGCCTCCCCGAGCTCCTCTAAGGTTTTAACCCTTTTAAGTGAGTGCGTCGTTTGTCTTGTGGCAACCAAGGTCACGTTGCCACATAATGACGCTGTTGAATTTTGACTGAGAGCCGCCGTGTACGTGACACAAATGTCTCGACCAATAATGTTATTCCAGCTTCTTGTACACATTGCTTCGCTGACGTGATCTGTTTACACAGACGAATATATACTGAATATTGTGTAAGATGTATCGCCTTCTTCTCAATATTATGGACAGGAAGTCATGAAGAAATAGCCATTGCTTAACTCTTTTTTACTAAACAATGGTTAACACACACACACACACTGAGCAAAAAGCTTCTTATATACAGTAAGAAATTACCAGTTGTTTGATTAAGGTCTTCTCATCCAGCAAACTACATCAGTGTTTTGCGTATGAGACATGACCGCTGGCCAGGCCGTCTGAAGGCTCTCTCGGGTTTCTTAGACACAATAGGAGTGTTGACAGCGGGTGTGGGTCAGTTACCAAAAATTATTTTAAGGATATTTTTAATAGCGAATATAACGCAGAAATCAAGGCTATGGAAGACCGAGATATTCTTCAGATGGCTAACTTGTACTCTCCATAACAACATAAGAATGGAGGAAACTGCAGCGGGTCTATTGTCCCATACTGTCCAATCCCGTTTACACCCAACCCCTATCGCTCATATATCCATCCAAACTATGTTTGAAGCTATCCAGCGTATTCGAGTTAATGATGATGTTTGGTAACTTGTTCCATTCGTCCACTACTCTATTTCCAAACCAATGTTTACCTATTTCTCACTTAAATCTAAATTTGTCTAATTTAAAACCATTGTTACGAGTTCGCTCCTGGTTGGATAGTTTGAGTACCTTTGTAATGTCCCCTTTGTTTAGCCCTGACTTCCTTTTATACACCTTGATCATATCGCCCCTCACTCTACGTTCCTCGAGGGAGTGCAAATTAAGATGCTTTAACCTGTCTCTGTACTCAAGGTTCCAAATGCCCGGGATTAGTCTTGGCATTCTCCTCTGAATTATTTCTAGGGATATCTATATCGATTCTGTAGTACGGTGACCAAAATTGAACTGCGTAATCCAAGTGAGGTCTCACAAGCGAGGCCTCACCGTCAAGGTTGTACTCGGTAGTGACCGGTACACCCACACGAGTTGGAATTTTTGGTTAAAAATGCCCGAGTTTTAAAAAAAATGTTTTTATTATTTTGCTTTATTTTTAAATATGAATTTATTTTGCTACCCTTTTGGTATCCGTAAAAATTAAACGTTACTAGTTGCATAGTGTACAGTACAGTACAGTACAGTACAGTACATAGGTCATGTTAAGCTAGCATAGGGTACAACACCTAATATTCTTGATTATTTGGGTTCTTGTACTATTGTATTTACGTTTCATCTCCTGACTTAGTTGTAATTAGCTAATAAAGTAGATTAACTAGATACTTAACCTGGATAAAAAGGTGTAAATTAGCCACCAATCAATTCTGTATCAATATTATATATTTGTTTTTCATAATTTATGAAAGTTATTATCTATCAGTAATTTTCAATACTTAGTAACAACTGCAACTATAAACACCTTTAATATAAACTTGATAATGAAGATGAACACACACACACACACACACACACACACACACACACACACACACACACACACACACACACACACACACACACATCAGTAAGAATAAAATCATCACAACTAATAGAGAATGTGTATGTATATTTATACTTAATGTTTGTCACCCATGAATTATAGTAAGAAAAGGCTTGATGCATTACAATCTAGACAAAGCCAACTACAGTGCCACTTATTTCATAAATCAGTGTACAATATGGAGCACTTCATGAGCTGCCAATAATTGTTATCTATGTGAGATGGAACAAGTACACAATGCATGTTAACCCAAGACAAGTTCATATGCACTGTATGGTGAGCGATGCTGTAGTGTGCTATGAAACCCACACGTGTCATTTTCTACATCCTTAGGCTTTCTAACTGTATTATTTTACAGTTCTTGTCATCATCACTCAGTACAGTTTCCTGCATATAAATTGTATAACTACAGTAAGATCATTATACCTAAGAGCCTCTCAGTATATGATATATGAAAATGAAGGTTAGGTTAGGTAAAGAAGGCTCCCATAGGTCTGACGGCCTGCAAGGAACAGTGTGGAAATATTACATTGTATATTAAGCCTTTGATACACAGGAAGGCAGCATGGTTGAACACTGCACTCGACTGCCTTCACTTTTCCAACAGTAGAGATATGCAACCATACAGAGTTGGGTGAAACAGGGGTGTAATGGGTGCAGACCAGCTACTCTTAGGACAGAAGGCGAGCGTTGTGCCCACTCGGCCTCCGCAGTGACAATAAACAAGATAAGGGACATAAAATACAAACGAAAATGAAACATAAAATGGATAGAATAACGGCGTGAGAGACAGACATGACTTCAGCGCCAACAAGAGCAATCACCAGAGCTTGGAGTTCATCTTGATCACAGAATAAATGCTTATGGAAGCTACACTAGATGAACATTAGACTGCCTTTTGGCTGAAGTGCTGCTGTTCCATGGCAGAAGTGTTAATTTTTGTTGTATTGACAGAAAGCTGCAGTTTCGCTCATATACGTAGGCCAGATGGTGTATAGGCCTGGAGTGCCTCCGAATCTGTAGTAGGCTTTCTCGTATGGGGCCTCTGGCTCTCCTGGCCCCCAGTAAGCGTCCAGTACCGGGCTGCCGTCCATGGTGTACCAGGAGGAAGAGATCATCTGGAGTCCCACCCACACTTTAGTAGTCTCGTACTTCTGCATCAGGAGGATCATTACCTGGTGGTGAGGGGTGTAACCAAGGGTGCCGCCTTTAGCCTGGCACGCCCGTAATCCCTCCTCCCAGGACATGTTGTCAATTATGGGATGGTTGGCCATGAAGTAGTCGCTCACATCTATCGAATACGTGGAGAGCGTTGAGGTAGTGGGTGTAGGGTAGGGTGTGGGCGTGAGGGAGGTAAACATCCTACACTCACTCGACACAGTATCCAAAGCCCATATCAAACATCCTTCCGTTCTCAGGCACCACACACTACACCTGTCAACATGGGAGATAATCTTTAACATTACATCGCAACATATTATCTCAATCATTCTTTAAATTAGTTCAACTTCTATATGTTTGTCAAGAGTACTCAGTTAGCCTCACACTGTTAATACCGAGTCAGCACAACACACGGATTCTCAAGACTGGTATGACAAATTTTTCTAAGTATGGAATAAATATTGTATCTCGGTACTGTAAAGCCTCAGAGGAATTTAAATGGCATTTATAAGGGTCAACTATGTGTTGTAAGGCAAGGCCGCCTATCACATGTGTAGTTCAGTCAACATTTGCTGTAATTTATGGTGTTATCTGTACTATCGACCAGACTGACACATATTGACTAACACATAAAAAGTCTAACAAAAGTTTTCCACATTTCTGCCTTTATATTTTCTTACTTTCTTGCTACGTTACTTTTACCCTTGTGTATACTGTACTTTATAAAGTAAATATTTACATAGTTTCCATACTTTTAGTTTAGAAAAGTAATAACAGGTACACTTATGTAACACCCAAACCAAAATGTGTCTCATCACATGGAAGGACTGGTAGTAGAGGTGGCCCTTGATGCACGCTACAGTA